AGTTTGACTTGGGATTCATACCGAGGCCCTGAAAGAACCTGTTTCGATTCCGAAATTCTAACTATTGCAGTAATCAGGGAGAACAATGGATTCTTTCTGAAACTCATTTCAGTTCTGTCTGCTTGTTCAGTAAACTGGAACTTCTTGCAGAGGTTCTATTCGCAATGAACAGACGGATGGAAGTTTTTATATAACTGTCGGATGGCTTTTGTAGAGAAGCAGATTTGAAATGAGTTTCAGAATTCATCTGTATGAGCAATATGGTGGAATTTCGTTTTCCCGCTATCGCATAATAAAGTCACTGAAGATCAGACAGTTGTTGTAAACACTACGATCCATGTGTTTCGTTGTGTATAGGGCAACTGAATTGCTAATTTATTACAATGTGTCCATTTGCTATGTATTTGTTGACGAGAGAAAATAAGCGTTTCGGCTGTCTTCTCGGGTAGAAGAGACATAAATGAATGGTCAAGGATGTGTCTGCCTATTCCATCAAGTACCCACCTAATGGTAATAACAGTCTACACGCGTTATGTTTACGCCGTCGAAACAGTCTCCTCTATTTTAGCAGTTTGATTTGGACCAACTAATTTTGTAAAATGATGGAACAAATAGTTAGCGCAAATATTTATTTCAATCAAGAGTCTTACAGTGATGTGTTTTTGATTATTCCTTACATAACTTTTTATACGCTGATTCTTTAGTCTTAAATAATAGCACTTTCAGCAGTGGTCACCTGAAAACCTTCAAATTATTTATTTGTTTGAATGAATCGAGTACCTGCAAATACAGTCAGTCATTCAGTTAAATATACTTGATAGAACCTTAAGGCGCATGATAACCTGTCATATCCAGGGCAGATGTGAAGCAACAAAACCGGCAGTGAAAAAGTGGACCCCTGTCAGGCTGATCGGAGTCGCTGCAAAATAATTGGAGGATGGAACTACTCACCTTCGATATTCCTCAGTCCGGCAACTCCAAGGAATGTACCTAAATTTTGTGCTTCGCCATTTCGAGAGGCACTTTTAAAAACATAGTTACTGTGGGAGAGTAATGAGGTCGTTTGGAATAGAACTGCCCACAGCAACTGTTGGCTTTATTAAGTGTCTGGTTAGGATTGGCCAAAACTCGACAGTGCTGCGGTTGTCGTCCGTCAAGGTGATAGTTTTGAAAGGCTCTGGATGTGAGCCAGTTATTTTTTAGGTCTGACATACCACGACGCAACTCTGTGGATGGTTCTCACAACTGAAATTTCTCGGAAAGGTTTGCATATTTCTCCACCTCGAGTTGATCCACGACATTGCACCACCGCCACGTCATTTAACTTTACCGTGACGATCAATTAAATAACAAACAGGTTCATTCAAACCGAGGATGTTTTCATTGTCCTTGGGATATAGTGAAGTCAATTGTGAATGAATGGCTCACGTGTTGCTGAAAAACGGAATCGCTAAAAGTGCCTTCGGCAGGACATAGGTTTCAGCAGGCTGGTGTTCTTTCTTTGCTGTGTTCTTTTCTGCAGAATACTTTCAAAGTTTTTCGCTACAGAAGGAGTCAGAATGTAGCGACAAGAAGTTCAGATCTTGGCATAAGCTGCTACTAAATGCGCACAACGACCCAGCTAGTTTTGATTTGTGGGCGACTTCGCCGCGGTTCCTAACCCTCCTTGTTTCTTATCCGGGCTTTAAACCGACAGCGGCATTCGGATTCAATGAGACACTGCAGGTAGTGTGCATGGTCTGAGTAAATGCCCACCAGGCAAGTCGCATCAAGCGGACGAAGCGCTATCTCGTGAAATTCATTATTGGAGGAGCTAAGTGTGTAGATAAAACATAACCCAGATGTTCAGGGGGCAACTGCCAGAAATGGCTATTTTTCAATTCCGTTGATAAGAATATCATGTCCGTTTCAGCTCTTTAGATTTGTGTGACCCAAA